AGGGAACTTACCAGCATACAGAAGTTACCTTAATATTGCTCAGGTACCCTGCAGATCTCACTTGCACAGAAGTTCATGGTAGTCTTCTAGACATCAAGCTCAGCCAATCCTCGCAGTGTTGCCTTCCTCACATCGACAGCAAACATCATTGCCAACTTGTCCATGTTCCTGGGTCTGGTTTGAGAAATCAAGTAAACGACATCATCATCCATGCTTAGGATGGGATATCCCAACGGAAGTTCCTTCCACGTTCCTGTGGTCTTGCTGCTCAGCATAGCCATGAGATCAGAAAGACATGGGTCACCAGCCTCCAAGTTGATGTCTTTCACGTCAACTACACAGTCACAGCGCCAGCCCTCCGACGAACCAACCGGTATTGCCATGTTCCATGTTGTGGACTTCCAGCCATCACGCTTGAGCTGGGGTTTCCTTGAGCTATTGCGCACCCAGTCAGCAAAGGAAACAGGGGTGGCATTCAGCTCTTCTGGTGACAGGACTTCCAACCATTCCAACTCAACATACTTGATCGAGTCTTTGTTCCGGCTGACAGTTACGTCCCGCAAATAGCCGGGGTTACCTCTGAGGAGGCGATCCCAGTTTGCCCTTGCCGGCTCCGGCAGCGGGACATCCTGGAGCTGTGGGCATTGTCTGAGCACGTCGCAAAAGAAGATGCCGCGCCAAAGGTCCACCCAAGCCACCGTGCCATGCGCACCGCCAATGGTGATGCACTTCGCCGTCTCGTGGTACAGCCTGTCGACTGCCCGAGGTAAAGGGATAAGTTTGTCCCTCTTGAACTCTTTCAGTGACAGCCGCTTGGAGATCCACCCTTCGGAACCTGAGGATGATCTGTACAGAGGAGGTCGAACTCCCAGCTAATGAGCTTGCGGCCATTTTACAGGGGGGGCCTAAAAGCGAGAGCAGCGACGGCAAACCAAGCGCCGTCCTCGCGGCTAATGAGGGCGGTTGCGGCGGCGTCGAGCGCCCCGAGGTGCGGGGGGTT